TGCGGAGGAGCATGGTGAACAACCACATCGAGCTGCAGGAGAGACTAGTTCTGCCAAGGTTGAAGGATGCAATGGAAGACGTGTTGCACCTGCTAGAAACTCGCCTCCCAGGTGAACGAGTTCGGTTCATGAGTCTGGACTTCTCAGACGCCTTCAAACACCTCACAGTCAGAGACAACGAGCGTCGCTTCTTGTCGGGCCGGGCATTAGGAGGTTTCTTCATTTACAGAACAGTGCTGTTTGGCATTAAGACGGGACCGCTTGTCTGGGGCAGAATGGCTGCCTTAATCGCTAGAGCCACTCAGGCCATGTTCCATGGCGATAGATGTCGGCTACAAGTGTTTGTCGACGATCCCCTGGTTGTGGCCCGAGGCAGTGAACAGCAGTTGGCAAACATTTTCAACATTGTGTTGTTGTGGTGGTTGGTTCTTGGGCTCAAAGTCGCCTGGCACAAGGGAACTATCGGCCAGAAGGTCGAGTGGATTGGAGCTGGAGACCAATGACCAGGATTCCCACGCAAGAGTTAGCGTCACGCCGACGAAGTTGGCAGAGTGGCGAGCAATGTTGGAAGATCTAGAAACCAAGCCTCTGGTGTCGAGAAAGCAGTTGCAACAGTTTACAGGTAAGATGTCTTGAGCTGCAGGATTTGTGCCACAGTTGAAGCCATTTGTGCGCATGTTGTATGCAGCTCTGACATCGCAGCAAGCCAGTTTGCAAGGACAGACCCACGTCTACCGCAGACAGGTGGAGCCAGCGTTCCAATGGCTTCGAAAGTTTCTGTGGGCGTGAGGAGCAGAAGGGTTAGAGCGGACAATCTTTGCTCACTGCCGTCACAACTGCCGGTTGGACTTCTTTGTTGACGCCTCACCTTGGGGCGGCGGAGCAGTGCGACTGAAGGCGGGTGGACGAGGGGCGCACAAGCGCTAAGATTGGAGAGCCGGCCTCCCAGGCCTTATGGGAGGCATACATGATGCTACGGTGTTTGTGGCTGTGGGTGACCCCTCATGAGCAAGGGTTCATCCGCATCAGAGGTGACGCGCAGGGCGTTGGCAGCCTTCGTGAAGCGAGCTGCAAGATCACCGCTGTTGAATGCCGTGACAAAAGAAGCGGCCCTCCACCTGGCTGTCCACTTTGCCTCTTTGGAGGGGATGCGCGTGTGGAGCGAACTTAACGAATGCGCAGACTCCTTATAGCCCGTGGCCACATGCCTGCAGAGTTGTCTCATTTGCCAAGGGTGATGCACGCGCCCGAGCTTTGGCACGTCGAGTGAGAAAAGCGGTGAGGGGGAGCTAGCTCCCACACTGGCAGGACATGTCGAGTGGCCGGGCCGATTCTGGGGGGGGATACGGGAAGGAAGGGGCGCCGTCGTGAGTCGCATCATGAGATCAGCAGGGGAGTGTCGAGATCTGTCGTTCAATTCACACCGCGCGAGGCTGCATGGACAGCCGATTTGCCGAGTTGGGCAACTGCAGTGCGCCAGGGGGGTCACCTGACGGATTGGCAGATGCAAGCATCGCATTGCAAGAGAGCGGCATAGCAAGAGCGGCAGAGCAAGAGAGAGTTTGCATAGCAAGAGAGCGGCATAGCAAGAGTGACGGAGCGAGAGAGAGAGAGAGAGAGAGAGAGAGTGTGTGTGTTTTTTTTTGCAGAGCAAGAAGAGGCATTGCAAGAGAGTCAGAGACTGTGAGGACAAGCATGTGCTTTTCAGTCGTTTTGCATCGCTTGTGTTTGTTTTTCCGCTGCCGTTTCCCCTTTATATATGTATATATTTCAAATTGAATATCAGGGATAGCATTTTTTCAGCATGAGACGATTTCAACAAGATCTTCCCAGAAAAGATGCAGTCGCTAAATGGCCGGGACTGCAGACAAAGGGTTCCCGAGTCACCGACCCGGATGAACTGACTGGGTCGCAGCCCTTGCCCGCTGCGTCGTTGATCCGTAGTGTCACATGTGAGGCCTGCCACCGTTTAGTTTCGGTGGTCGAGGCAGACAGTTGCCACATTTGTGATGGTGGTCCTTATCACCCTGAGTGCCTCTATGCATACCACCATTGTCCCGAATCCCCTCCCTCCCGTACAGGGGGGGGAGCATGCACCACCTCCTCCGAGTGAGCCTGGAGATCGGGAAACGGGCGCCTCTTGGCGGTGGGTGGACGAGGAGGAAGAGGATTCCGAGAAAGAAGAAGAGATAGTCGAGTCCCCTGCAAAGATGCCAAGGATCTATAGCAGCGACAACATAGAGGCCCTTATGAGAAGAGGAGGGCAACCTACGAAGGAGGTGGAAGACAAGACCCGGAAAGAAGAAGGGGTACAACTCGTGGAGAAAGAAGTGATCGTGAAGTCAAAGGCGGCTGCCCCAGGTACCCCTTGCCCGGGGACGCCATTCAGAAAGACAGAACCCGTGGTAAGGCCCTACGCCACAGGGAATAGAGCCAAAGTGCAAGAAGTACTTGAAGACCCTGAAGCTTTCAATCAAGCCATGGAAGAATTTCAGTCAAACAAATTTGCCCAATCCAACCAGGACACCCACAAGGCAAGAGTATCCTGGTGGGAGCACAGAGCGGTCAGTTTGGATGTGAAGCCTTTACCCTGGACCCGCACAGTCATTGACATGGCGGGAGCTTTGCTGAAAGCGGGGCAGTATAGATCAGCGGCTCAGTACTTCGCAAGTTTCAAGCGAGAACACCTGTCACTTGGACAGATGATCTCACTCTGTCCATCAAGGACGCTACCCGGTCGTGTGCGCGGGGCATCGGAGTAGACAAGCAATGTTTGGCCCTTGACTTGAGAAGATTAGACACGTTGCAGGAGGTGGAACCAGTGGAGGGGGGGGCCGCTGAGGACAAAAGACACAGTGGTCCTTTTTGCTTTGTTCGCCTGCAGGGAGATGGAAGCGGCAGTGAGGAAGATGAAACATGTGCAGATTGACGAAGGGGGGCACGGATGCGGCGTGGTCTTGCTCTATCTCCCGGCCACGAAGGTTGACACGAAAGGAGAAGGGGTGCTACGGAGGCAGGGATGTCTCTGTGCTACATACCCTCATTTGTGCCCGGTGGCTGCTGCCAAGAGACTCATGCAGGTGGCAACGGAGAACGGCCATCAGGAAGAAGACCCATTCCTTGTTACCAGCAAAGCGAAGACACCTCCGCCTCCGACCAAGGCAGGAATTGGTTGGAGCATTTCGGCGACTGGCCATTGCTATAGGCACACGGAGGAGGAAGCGCAGCAAGTGACGGGGCATGCACTCCGTCCAACGGGAGCTCAGTTTATGGCCAGGCTGGGCATCGACTTTTATAAAATCCAGTTGTTTTGCAGGTGGGGCAGTGAGGCCATCCTGAGATACCTCAGGGAGGTACCATTGGAGGACTCGGACCAATGGTTGGCGGCAAGCCTCTCAGTGGGAGAAGTGATGACACACTCAGCCAGGGCATTGGACATGCAGACCGATCATCCAAAGTCTCGAAAGATGGTCAAGGCGATTCAGAATGCCTTGGAGACGAGGAGCACTCAGATTCTTCAGAGTGCCAACCAAACCAAGGAAGAGATCGAGTAGATTTTGGAGGGATTGCGCAATAAATCCCTCCTGATGAATGCGCTCAATGTGAATAGCAATGCTTTCCATGCTGTGGAGGATGCTTTTTCGACCGGTTGCGGCTGTGAGTACAGAAACCTTAGGGAATATAAGTTCAGTAGTCAGCCCCCGAACCCAGACTCCACCGACTATCACATGTGTGAGAAAGCTGGGTGTGTCAAATTGTTTGAGACCTTTGCGAAAGCACTGTGAAG